TATGCTTTAATTATGTTCAATTTGTAACAATGAAATTGGGGGTCACCACAACATGAGGAACTGTATTAAAGGGCATTAGGAAGGTTGAGAGCCACTGCACTAACTGAAATGAAGATTTACAGGGAATTAACAGTAGAGTAGAGGATGCCAAGAATCAAATCAGCAACTTGAAATATAAGGAAGCAAAAAACATCCAATCAGAAAAGCAAAAGGAGAAAAGAACCCAAAATTATGAAGACAGTATAAAGAGCTTCTGGGACAATTTCAAGTGTATCATAATTTGCATGCTATGGGTGCCAGAAGGCGAAGAGAGAGTGCAAGAAATTAAAAACCTATTTGAAGCAATAATGACAGAAAACTTCCCCTACCTGGTAAAAGAAACAGACTTACTAGTCCAGGAAGCACAGAAAGTCCCAAACAAGAGGCCCACACCAAGATACATCATAATTAAAATACCAAAGGTTAAAGACAAACAGAGAATCTCAAAAGTAGCAAGACAAAAGCAGCTAGTTACATATAAGGGAGCTCCCATAAGACTGTTTGCAGATTTCTCAACAAAAATTTTGCAGGCCAGAAGGGAGTGGCAAGAAATATTCAGTGATGAAAAGCAAGGACCTAAAACCAAGATTACCCAGCAAAGCTATCATTTAGAATTGAAGGTCAGATAAAGAGCTTCACAGAGAAGAAAAAGCTAGAGTTTATCACCACCAAACCAGTATTACATGAAATGTTGAAGGGTCTTTTTTTAAGAAGAAAAAATAATAATAATAATATGAACAGTAAAATGGCAATAAATACATACCTATCAACAATAGAATCTAAAAAATAAAATAAATAAACAAGGACTCTAATGCACAACAACAAAAAAACTGATGAATAAAATAGAACCAGAGGCATGGAAACATGGAACAGACTGATGAATCTTGGAGGGAAGAGTGAGGGAGGGGGAAGGGGAGGAAAGAGCAGGAAGAGCTTAACCAAAGAACTTATATTTATATATGTATTACCCATTGACACAGACAATAGGGTGGGGCAGGATCTAGTGGAGGAGGGCAATGAAGTAGCAACGAAAATAATTTTATGATTGGGGGTCACCACAACATGAGGAACTGTATTAAAGGGTCGCGGCATTAGGAAGGTTGAGAACCACTGCACTAACTGAAATGAAGATTTACAGGGAATTAACAGTAGAGTAGAGGATGCCAAGAATCAAATCAGCAACTTGAAATATAAGGAAGCAAAAAACATCCAATCAGAAAAGCAAAAGGAGAAAAGAACCCAAAATTATGAAGACAGTATAAAGAGCTTCTGGGACAATTTCAAGTGTATCATAATTTGCATGCTATGGGTGCCAGAAGGCGAAGAGAGAGTGCAAGAAATTAAAAACCTATTTGAAGCAATAATGACAGAAAACTTCCCCTACCTGGTAAAAGAAATAGACTTACTAGTCCAGGAAGCACAGAAAGTCCCAAACAAGAGGCCCACACCAAGATACATCATAATTAAAATACCAAAGGTTAAAGACAAACAGAGAATCTCAAAAGTAGCAAGACAAAAGCAGCTAGTTACATATAAGGGAGCTCCCATAAGACTGTTTGCAGATTTCTCAACAAAAATTTTGCAGGCCAGAAGGGAGTGGCAAGAAATATTCAGTGATGAAAAGCAAGGACCTAAAACCAAGATTACCCAGCAAAGCTATCATTTAGAATTGAAGGGCAAAGCTATCATTCAGAATTGAAGGTCAGATAAAGAGCTTCACAGATAAGGAAAAGCTAAAGGAGTTCATCACCACTAAACCAGTATTATATGAAATGCTGAAAGGTATCCTTTAAGAGGAGGAAGAAGAAAAAGGTAAAGATACAAATTGTGAACAACAAACATGCATCTATCAACAAGTGAATCTAAGAATCAAGTGAATAAATAATCTGATTTACAGAATGAACTGGTGATTATAATGAATCAGGGACATAGAAAGGGAATGGACTGACTATTCTTGGCGGGGAAAGGGGAATGGGAGATGCGGGAAGAGACTGGACAAAAATCGTGCACCTATGGATGAGGACAGTGGGTGGGGAGTGAGGGCGGAGGGTGGGGCGGGAACTGGGAGGAGGGGAGTTATGGGGGGGAAAAAAAGAGGAACAAATGTAACCTGAACAATAAAGATTTAATTAAAAAAAAAATACACTCAAAGAGCAACAAAAAAAAACAAAAAACAAAAAACAAAAAACAAAAAAAAAAGAATTAAAAATATCACCTGGAGCCTGGCTGGTGTTGCTCAGTGGTTTAGTATGGACCTATGCACCAGTAAGTCATAGGTTTAATTCCTGGTCAGGGCACATCGCCGAGTTGCAGGCTCAATCCCCAGTGGGGGGCATGCAGGAGACAGCCGATCAATGTTGATGTTTATCTCTCATCAATGTTTTTAACTCTCTCTCCCTCTCCCTTCCTCTCTAAAAATCAATAAAAACACATTTAAAAGAGAGAGAGAAAAAAAAAACACACGACAGGAGTGAAATGGGATGGAGTGATCTTTCAGGTTTCTTCAGCTCTAAAATTCTGGGATGCAGAAAGGCCGAGCTGCATCATGGGTATCCTACCAAAACCCAAGGGATTTGTACTTTCTTTTTCAGATGACAAACAATACTATATGATTACCCAAGATAATAAGTTAGTTATCCCCACATATGGGACTGGAATTCAGATTTTTTTCCTAGCTTATGACTCTTTCCAGGAGGTATTAATACCAAATACTCAATTCTTGCCTTGAAAATATTTAATCATGCTATCTGGCTGAATTAACTCATATCTCAACTCTTCTGTCAGACAAACCTTATAATACTGGCTTGTTTTTTCTTCCTCTAATTACAAATGTTGAAACTGGCTGATCACAATGCCTAGAATATCATTCTGGATTTTTCACTCATACCAAATTTCTTCAATCATAAGGGAGCAAGACTTTATCAACTGTTCCACAAACTCAAAGCTGGTGTCAGAAAGTACTTATACAATGAGAAGGATACAATGATTTAATTACACATGCATGTACACAGAACACCAGCCAAACTGGGCTTCCGAGTTTGGGTGAGCAAGCCATACCTCTACTGCTTGTTTCTACATCAATATTCTTTATACTTGGTTGGCACTTTTTTGCCTACATGAGATATAAATTCCTTGAGGGCAAGAAATAGGTTTCTAAACTCTTTAGAAGCTCTTAAGAAACCCTACTTTAATATGATGCATACTTCTTGGAGCGGCAATGCCGAAGAAACAAAACAGGAATGAGAGTTATTCCGTTTCTGAAATCTCAGGCCCTTACAAAGAATATCATATCTTTTTTTTAGGGAAAAAGATGTCTGGGGGTTAAAAGCACTGCCTCATATTTATGAAGAAGTAATGTTATTTTGGCAAAAAAAAAATGCAATGCTTTGGATTTGTTACAAAAAGTTTTTTAAACCACTGGTTAAAAAACACACAAGTATTACTGTAAAATGAAAGGAAAAAATACTGTATGCAACGTCTACAATCACTCTTGATGTTTAACAGCTCTTTTCACTTCCTGGGCACATACCTTTTCCCATTCTGAGTTGGTGTTTTCCGTAAGTAGGGAGAGTGCTTGAAGTGCTTTCTGAATGCAGGCCTTTAGTTTTTCAAAATATCGCACAGACGCCCACTTTGAAGAACACGTCGACATGAGTTCTGAGAGTTGCCTGTTCTCTGAACCAGGGGCTTGCTCCTTCGGGGTATCCTTTAGGAGAAGTTCAAGGACAGTCAGAATGTCCTCCTCGTACTGACAGATTTCCAGTTGGACCCGCCTGGCTTCCTGCACAGTCCACTCCCTGCGACTCTGGTCTAGACAGGTTTGCAATTCTGTCTCCTTCTGGAGGAGCAGTTCAGCTTTCTGTTTCAGAAAGTCTTCTTTAGCTGCTGCAAGCACCTCATTAATTTTATTTCTATGATCATCTAAAAATTGTCTGTAATCTTGCTCATTTTGTTCTTGAATTCTGTGGATTTCTTCTTGCTTTTCTTTGTTCCATTCACTCCGGGCCTTTGCCAACTCGGCCCTGACAACCACAGGGACTTCCTCGTCCTTCAGTTCCAGCTCTCTCTGAAGAGAATGAATCTTCTCCTCCAATTTTTCCAGGTGTTGCATGTTTCCAGGTGTTGCATTTTTCTTCGTATTTTCAAGCTCGCTTTTCCATTTCTCTTTAGCTTCAGAAACAGCAAACGATATCTAAAGGACATAATGAACATTTTAAAATCTTTAAGATTCTCTCATTAATAAAAAAAATTAAAGTAATTATTTGGGTTAACCTCTGAACTTAGTAAGAGATTTAGAATCAGAATTAAGGGGAAACAGTGAATTTAGATATTATTCCTAAAATATTCTTACACTATACTTAAGGATCTTTTCCTTCATTTTAAGTCACCTAACATTTTATCTTACGTTATTTAAAAAAACAAAATATCTGCCCTGGCTAGCATGGCTCAGGGGTTAGATCGTCGGCCTGCACACCACGGGGTGAGGGGTTTGATTCCTGTCTAGAGCATGAAACTGGGTTTCAGGTTCGGTTTCTGGCCCTGGTCTGGGTGCTTGCAGGAGGCAGCCAATTGATGTGGCTCTCTTATATCATGTTTCTCTCTCTCTCTCTCTCCCTCTCCTCCCTTACCTATCACGCTCTCTAAATAATCAATGGAGATCTCCTCCCCCTCTCCTTAAAAAAAAAAAAGAGAGAGAGAGAGAGAGAGAGAGAAAATAAATAAATAAATAAATGAATAATCAATGGAGCCCAGTGGTTGAGTTCAGTGGTTGAGCATCACTATGAACCAGGAGGTCATGGTTCAATTCCCAGTCGGGGCACAAGCCCCAGAATTATGGGCTCAACCCCAGTGTGGGGCATGCAGGAGGAGGCCAATCAATGATTCTCTCTCATCATTGATGTTTCTATCTCTCCCTCACCCTTCTTCTCTGAAATCAATGTTTTATATATATATATATAAAATAATCAATGGAAAAAGTGTCCTCCGGTGAGGATTAACAAACAACAAAAACAAAACAAAACACGTTTTCTTGATGAAGAATTAGAACTTTAAACTGACCAAAAATATGTATTTGTGATTATTTACTCAAAACTAATTTTAGGAAAAATTCCATATCACTTGTTTTATACAGATGCAGTCTCAAATTTTATCTAAACCCCCAAAACAAATTAAGCATCATTTACATAAAGAAAAAGCAGCCTCATTAGGAAATCTTATTGTCACTTAGGAATATAACAAATACCTGCATAATTACTTGCTGACAAACATAACTGTATTTTAATGCAATTTTAGTGGTAATGCAGTTCATGAAATGACAATAGCAAACAGAAAAGGTTATTGTTTTCCCCTTATGGTTAATTTTCTTTTATAACAGAACAGAAATAGTAGATCATAGAAAATAAGAGTATGTAACCAAAAAGTAACAGGGAATCAAAACACCTGGGCTCTAGCTCTAACCCTGCCTAGTACGGCACAGTGCTTATCAGAGGGGGCTCTGGAGACCAACCGCTGTGGGATCTCAGGAATTAGCTTTGGGACCTCAGGCCCATTCCTCAACTTCTTGGAGCCTCAGTTTCCTCAGCAATAAAATCGGGATAGCCTTGGCCGGGTTGCTCAGTTGGTTGGAGTGTCGTCCCATACACCAAACTATTGTGGCTTCGATTCCCGGTCAGGGCATATATGGGAGGCAACCAATCGATGTTTCTTGAGTGAGGATTACAAAATAAATAAATAAACAAACAAACAAAGAAATAAAATGGGGATAATTACATGCCTACATGAAAGTTATTTTAGGATTAAATGACAGAGATAATCCATTTGAAGCACTTAACCCAGAGTGGCAAATAATAAGGACTCAATAATGTTATGTAGTTATTGTTGCTTTTGGCTTCTTGAACTTGGAAAAGTCAATCTCTTTAGCATTTGGTGTCTTCATCTATATAATGAGCAAACTGGATAATGACCTTGAATCCCTTTTACTTCTAATATCCCCTGAGTGACTCCAAAACATCATTAGAATACAAAGTGTTAAAAGGATTGGGCATCTCCAAAGGCTTGGCCTAGATTAATTAATACTACATTTTTGCTCTGAATGCTGAGATAGGCTATCTGCTTACTAAATTTTCTATTATGTAATTATAGCAAACATCTTCACCTATACAGATTTATACACACATGTCCTATACCTTTATTCAGTTGTATGTGCTCTTAAATAGTTGCATATAATAATTTAAAAATTTGAAGTAATTGCATTTGAATTACTTTACTAAAGGAACCTACTAAGAATTCACAGTAAAATTCTTTTGCTACCAGCAGAATGGCTCAGTTGTGCATGAAACATGTTTAAAGAATGCTTTAGAGAAAACAGGTCATGTCGCAATGGATGCCTGGAAATCACTGCCAGGTGGCAGGCGGAGGTAGTGGATCCTACGGAATGTGGATAGCCGGCCCAAGCTCACTAAAAGCACACATCCTCTCACATGAAGTTTTACAAGGAGCATCAGACAGCATTTGTTGACTCAGTGGTTCCCAACTTTGCTGCATATTTGAACCACCTGAGCACCTTCTAAAAATCCCGATGCCCAAGCCACACCCCATACCAAGTAGAACATCATAAAGTGTGGGAGTGGGAGCCAGGCACCAATATTTTTTTTTTTAAATCCTCAAGGGTTTCCACTGTGCAGCAAAGTATGGGGACCGCCAAACCAACCTGACTACTTCTCGACTCCGGGAAATGGCTTTAAGTTTCCACACACTTGATGAGCACTCTAATCCTGCAAGAACTTGCCTCTCTAGCCAGTGCTAGGAAACTGGACCTTGCCCGCCTCCTGTGGTTTGAGGATGGATGCCCAACATGTTAACATTGTTCTGTGGCTGAATAATTATCTCAATTGTGCCAACTCCCACCCACGTGTGGTCCAGAGTCCAGCAGTGTCATGTCAGCAGGAAGCCTGTCTGAAATGCAAATTCTCAGGACTCACTTGAGACCCTCCAAATCAGATTTCCAGGAGAAGAGCCCAGGAATCTGCTTTAACAAACCCTCCTGGTGACTCCTGTGCCTGCTCAAGTTTGAGAAGCAACACACTGTCCCCTCGTCTCTATATTTCTGCATTCACATATGTGCAGGGCTCTGTGTTCTTTTTTTTTTTTAATTAAATCTTTATTGTTCAGATTATTACAGTTGTTCCTCTTTTTTCCCCCCATAGCTCCCC